TTGACAAGAAGGTTAAAACTCTTTAGACATGTTAAATACATTAATATTGGAAACTATTAATATTTAGTATTAATAGTATTAATATGTTAAAGATGGAGCAGGACAAGTTTAGGAAAGAGAGATAATTTAAGAGGGTACTGAAATGATCCAAAGGGATGATTATGGTTTTTTGAACCAGGGAAGCAGCAGTGGAAAGAGAAAAGACTGGGAAAATTATTGGAGTATAGTCAAATAGTACTTGTGCCAGATTGGAAATGGAGTAGAGAATGAGTCAAGAATGACTGTCAGAATTATTTTTAGCTACCTGTAAAACTGGGTGGCCATTTATTGGGATAACACAATGGATCCATAGAAGACAAGATGACTTTGGTTTCAAACATGTCAATGCCAAGCACATGGCATTTTTAGTGGAGGCATACAGTGTGAGGATGACTGTGAGTGTTGGAGACTCAGAAGTTGATTGTTTTTAGTGGAGGCATACAGTGCGAGGATGACTGTAAGTGTTGGAGACTCAGAAGTTAATTGTTTTAGTGAGGCATACAGTGTGAGGATGACTGTGAATGTTGGAGATTTAGAAGATGATTGGTCCAAATGTAGGTACTTGAGAGTCACCTGAACAAAGGGTGGTCATTTACTAAATTAAATAAATAAAATCAGAGATGAAAAAGGACTCTGACAATCTACACTGCAGAAATCTAAAGAACCATTAGAGACTACCATGAGCAACTATGTGTCAATAAATTGGAAAACCTAAGAGAAATGGGTAAATTCCTAGACACATACGACCTACTGATTTTGAACCAGGAAGATACACAAATCCTGAAGAAGCCAATCACAAGCAATGAGATAGAAGCAGCAAGTCTGCAATTAAAAAACCCAGGATCTGATGGTATTACTCCTGAATTCTACTGTTCATTCAAAGAACTAACATTGACTATAGATAAACTACTCCAAAAAATTAAAGAGGAAGAGATACTTAAAAACTTGTTCTATGAGCTTGAATCACCATGATACCAAAATCAGACAAAGACACAATAAAAAAAGAAAACTATAGGCCAATATCTCTGATGAACACAGATGCAAAAATCCTTAACAGAATATTAATGCTAGCAAACCTTATTCAACAACACATTAAAAAGATTACTTATTATTTTTTGGTTACAGTTTGACTGGGGCCAGGTTTGAGCCTGCCACCCTCGGTATATGGGGCTGATGCCCTACTCACCGAGCCACAGGTGCCACCCAATAGCCAGGCATTGTGGCGGGTGCCTGTAGTTCCAGCTACTAGGGAGGCTGAGGCAAGAGAATTGCCTAAGCCCAGGAGTGGGAGGTTGCTGTGAGCTGTCATACCATGGCAATCTACCAAGGGTGATAAAGTGAGACTCGGTCTCTACAAAAAAAAAAAAGATTATTTATTATAATCAAATGGTATTCATCTCAGGGATGCCAGGATGGTTCAACATATTAAAATCAACTGATGTGGCTCGGCGCCTGTGGCTCAAGTGGCTAAGGCGCCAGCCACATACACCTAAGGTGGAGGGTTTGAATCCAGCCTGGGCCCACCAAACAACAATGACGGCTGCACCCCAAACAGCCGGGCATTGTGGCAGGCGCCTGTGGTCCCAG